GACAGTAATTGTCTGTTAAGGATTAAAAGTGTTATTTATAATGGACTTGATAGAATTACCTTTCGAATGAAATATTTGGAATGGATTGATTACTCCCTACCATGTTTGAATGAATTACCGGCTAGAGCGATTGAATTTTAAAAAACTCAAAGTTTTGAGATATTTGTGGTATGGAAAAATAGTAAATTTGTTTTCTAATGTGATTTTAGCATTAAATGTTATAAAGTTATGCTACTAGGTTTGTCAAACCTTCCTAATAAAGGAGTTGGATACTCAAGATTTCAAGGTTAAGCTTGAAGATATCCCAACTGTCTGAGAGTATGCAAATGTGTACTCATAAAAGTTACCTAGACTATTTGTATATTGAGATGAAGAAATTAAAATATAGATGTTACCATGTATTGCATTTATTTATATAGCCGTATTGAGTGGCTCTGATTGAACTCAAATAATTAAAGGCATAGTTAGTAGAATTGGTAAGACTGGGGATTTACAAGACTAAGCGTGCATCTGGGATGCACCCGTATTATTGTGAAAAAGAAAGGAGAGTCTAAGAAATTATGTATGTATTATCGTCTGTTAAATAAGGCAAAAAATAAGAACAAATATCCTCTTTTGAGGAGTGATAATCTTTTGATTAGTTAAAAGGGTGCATTGGTGTCGCATAAGTAGGATCTCCTATCGTGATATTATTTGTTAAAGACGAGGAAGAAGATCTTCCTAAGACAGTTTTTAGAATTTGATATGAACACTACGAGATTGCGATAATGTCGTTTGGTTTAACGAATTTTCATGTGACACTTGTAAATTGGATAAACCAAGTATTTTATTTATACTTGGATTAATTGTTGGTAGTGTTAATTGATGTTATTATGATTTGTTGTAAGACCAAGGAAAAAAAATGATGCATGTCTTTGTATAGCTCTTCCAACTATTCGGGAGAAACATTTCATCCTAAGTTAACCAAGTGTAAATGTTGGTTGTCTAAGCTTGTATTCGATGGCGATATGGATTCAGTTGAGGAGATAAGAACAGACCTTAAGAAAGTACAAGCAATAGTCGAATGATAAATTCCAAAGAGTGTTTTCGAAATTCAATGTTTCTTGGGAATTTACTGGTTATTATCGAATGTTCATAAAGAATTTTTTGATAATTGTATTCCCTTCTGACCAAGCTATTGAGAAAACACACATTATTCTTTTGGATTGATAAGTGCTAATAAATCTTTGAGATATTAAAAAGAAATCTGACATAAGCTCCAGCATCAGTGTAATAATAATCTGGAAAAGATTATGTGATTTATAGTATTGCGTCTCATAATGGTATGGGATGTGTGCTTGTGCAAATAGAAAAGTTAATGTTTATGCTTCAAAGCAACTAGAGAATCATGAAAGAAGTTCTCTGACTCATGATTTTGGGTTGGCAACAGTTGTATAACGCCACTATCTACATGGTGAGTGATGCTATATCTATGCAGATCTCAAAAGTAAAAAGTACATATTAACTCGAATAAGTAAAAATAAAGGAAATGGATTGAATTCCTTGAAGAATGATGATATGCGTATCTATTACAATAAATAAAGGCTAATGTGATGTCCGATATGAATAAGAAATTTCTATTATGGGAACTTTGAATACGTGATTGTCTTTAAGGAAAGATGTTGCTCTGATTGTAGAATTAAAGTTAAAGTCTGTGTGGCTAGATCAAGTAAAGGATCTTCAAAGAAAAGATGAAAATTTTTGTGTTTTTCAAAGGTAGAACAAGTGGAAAATGATAAAACCAAAGACTTAGAAGTTATATCTGATGGATACTTATATTATCAAGGACAAAGTCGATATTAGTAGCATAAATGAAAAGAACTATTACCGAGTTTGTTTTTAAATGTCTGATATGACAACAAGTTAAAACAAAACATCAAGTGCCTTTTGAATTATGGTAACCAATTGCCATCCCTCAGTGGGAATAGAAACAAGTTACAATTGACTTTGTCACTAGTAATGATTATTGAAAATAATCTCAAGATAGTTGCTGATCAACTATCTTGATATTAGGAGAAGTTGTAATTTTAATGAAATTTGATTAGGGCTTTGATTTTAGAGATTTTATAAGGTTGAATAAAGGTTGATTTAATGTTCGAATCGAATCAAAAAGAAGTGAAATCATGGAACCCTACACTTGTACTATTCGACCTTGGCCTTTAAGGATGAGAAAAATTATGCAAAAATTATGTAGGGGCTGGAAATGATGTAGGAAGTATTTTAAAAGCCTTAGAAACATTGGGACCATTTTGTAGTTTGATGAAAGTTGGGGAACCTATTTAGTAATTATGAATATTTATGGGATCTATGTGTAATAGTTCAATATTTGATGTACTATTCTAGAAATTATTGTTTGAGTGTTAAAATTGATGTTAGAATGTGAAATTGGATTATTTTGGGATGTTGGTAAAAGTTGAGGCTTAAATCACAAATATAGAAAAGTTTGAAGCTTAAGTGAAAATGTTATGTGAAATTTTGATAAAAGGGACTTGAATGGTCAATTTAAAGTTTGATGGTCAACAATTATGTTGTGACATTGAATTAGTATTGAATGAGCATCGAAAGAATTTTTAGGAAATTATTTTCTATTGTGTGCCTATGTTAGTAAGATTTTAACATGTGGTTTGAATTTGTATATGTTTATAATGATGCTCATTTTGAATGTGTGCTTGAAATCAATATCAAGCAATATTAAAGCTAAGGAAAAGCTTAAGGATGTAATGCGAATTTCTAAGAAAGGTTTACAAGCTAAGGACACCAGGTGAGTGCGAATTTAATTTGTACTTATCTTATCAAACAAACATTAGCTTGGGATGAGCCAGTGATGGAGTTACTATGGTAAGGAGTGACTCCTAAATTGTTATGTGATTTGTGGTGCATGCAAATATGTGAATTCGGTGAGCTAATAAAATTAATGATATGCTGAAAACGCAAATTGGTGAAGTATGCATAGAAATTTAGTTATGGATAGTAAGTTTAGAAAATAACCATAAATTCTAAAAAATGGTTAGAAGATTAGTTTTATACCTTTAGATTCGTATATCAGTCTAGTTTTTTTTAGAGCAAACAGAAACTGATTTACAGGTATATACAAAAATATATGAATTTTAACCGACGATAGGTCAGAAAACGAGGCAACGGATTCTGCTCAAAATAGATTCTGTCAGTCAACTTTGAAAATTCATTATAATTTTTAAAAATTGAACTAGAATAAGTGCCTTATATGTTTAGATTCGTATTCGAGTCTACATTCTATTGGTATAAACGAAATAATTTTTGAGTATGTAGATTAAAACATAATAATATTTCTTTAAAGGTAGTGTAACTGCTAAGATATGAAATTATGATAAATTTTGGGAAAGCAAAGGATCAAGCTAAATCTTAGTGAGACTTATATTTTTACTTGTATATAATGTCAAAACGAGTGCAATGCATGCATAACATTGTACATGGATGTTTTATAAATCATCGGGTAGGACTTGTGATGAGTCTACCTTATTTTTGTTGGCATGATATTTATGTCATTCATCATATATTTGACATATTCTCAATATGTCAAATGTTGAATATAAAATGAATTGATTACTAATCGTTACATATGATGTTTATCATTAACATATATGATATTTATAGTGAATAATATATTGGGTATGAAATACCCAATATTAAATTATGATAATATACTTTGCACGGATGGATCAAATAAAATAGACTGTATCCCAAGTAAGTCATTGAAGGACATGGTCTAATTAACATGCCATAGAGTCTAGCAATTGGATAATTGGATTAGCAATATAGTGTGTAAGGACACTCAGTGCATCACTATGGTGTGTAAGGACAGTTAGTGCATATGGTACTATAGTGTGTTAGGAAACTTTGTACAACACTCTATTGTGTAAGGACGTTCCATGCAACCTTCTGGTGTGTACGGGCACTCAGTGCTTATGGGAAGCACTTCGGTGCATATTTGACTCGAATACCTAGGGTCTTTATAGGTTACGTTTGGGCTATGGTTTATTGGTTAATAAAGATAAAAAAAACTATAATCTTATGAGCATATGGAATATATGGCAAGTATATTGGTAAGAGATTTATATGTTATTCATATCATGTTCATATTAGTAGCATAATTGGAAACACATCTAAAGTGATCAAAATGCATTGAATATTATTATTGTTTACATTTATTTGTTGCATTGCCTTGAATATATTTCTATTAATTACCTCACTAAGTGTATACTTAGCGTGTGATGATTTTCACGCGTAGGTAAATTAAAGCGGAAGGAGTAGGGAGTTGTGTTTGGTATCAATCACTAAGGAATATTTACATTTAACAGTAATGACATCCGACTGTGTTTCAAAATTTTCTAGCTGGCATGTATATGAGTAAGAAGTGTTTGCAAACTATAAGCATGGTTAGTATTATATATAATTTAATATAAACATATATTATGATACTAAACCATGCTTTAAAAGGGATTTTAAATTAGACAGTTTTATTTATTATATTAACAAAACAAGAATGTTTGTTACTATATGAGATCGGATTTGAATTAAAAGTTGAAATATTATATTTTGAATTCCTCTGATTATTTATTTTATAATAAATTCACAAATATGGAATTTTTTAAAGAAACAAAATTTTACTTATGTTGGGTTAAGATTTTTTTTTTGAATATTTGATGTGGCATCTTTAACTCGTAAGTGTAAAATATACGGTTTAAGGGTGTTTCAATTCCAGTTTTTACCACGAAGCTATCACATTATAGATAGGCTAGTGTGTTGTCTGAGATGCACATAAATTCATGGATAATAATTGTATGTATTTTGGGACTCATGTATTTTGTAGACTTTATTTCTATTTTGCATATGGTATGATTGATGTTTTCAATGGTTATAAACTGTTTTGAAAAGAATTTTTGAATTGACCATTTTAGTGGTTATGTGTGGCATCGTAATCTATGGATCTTCAGGTCAGACTGAATTAGTGTGTTGTATTTAGTGGTATCAGAGCATCTAGGTTTAGTAATTCCTAGGACACGCAAGTTAGAGTTAGTATGTTTTTGTGTGAGTACATGCCCCTAAAGTGTCAATAATAGTTAAAATTTTGGAATGACGATAGTGGCCTCTCTTTCCTTTTATTTTTATGATTTGATTATAGCTGATAGTGGTGTTCCTAGCTATAAGGGCTAGAAGAATAGTCCTGCCACTTGTGCCATCCACTCAACCTATTGTGGCACCTCAGAGTCTCCATTTGAGAGGTTTCGTTGATACTTGACGACTGATTTCTAGGGATTTAGGGATGATTATCCCATTTCTGTAGACCAATGGCTCCGAAAGATACTATGTACGCTTTGTCAGTTACACCTAACTCCTAATGGTAAGCAAGAGTGTGTCATTGCCCTTCTGAAAGGTGATGTGATTGATTGGTGGGAGATTTTGGAACTGGCGAATGAGCCAGAGAAACCCACCTCAGAGTACTTCATTTCAGAGTTCTGTGAGAAGTACATTGGAGAGGTCCACACTGATGATTTGCGTGACCAGTTTCTACATTTAAAACAGGGCAACCGAATAGTGCTTGAGTATGAGAAAGAGTTTCTTAGGTTAAGCAAGTTTGAGCCCAAGCTTAATTTGACTGAGGCTAACAACTACAGGAGGTTCCGAGATAGCCTCCATTCAGATATTCAAACTCAGTTAACAACCAACCAGCTTCGTGTGTTTGTAGATCTAACCTGCCAAGCTATGGCAGTAGAGAGAATTCTAAACAATGGATCTTAGACGATGAGTAACTTGTGGACAAAGACACTTGAAGAGTGTTATCGGGCGACATGAGGTTGTTTCAACTGTAGTTCCTTGGACCATATTATGAGGGACTATCACAAAGCTCAAAGTTCAGTACCCACATCATCTCAGAGGTCTGCCCCATCTATTCAGTAAGGCCGAGGGTCCTTAAGGGGGTAGAGATAACTCAGGGCAGTACAACCGAGGTTTCGCTAGATCAGAGTCAGTCCAATAGCCTATAGTTTCATCACGCTAGTATTCCATATGAGCATATGAGGAGTGTGATGTCACTGATGTGATTTTGTTATATATTTTTTTCCATTCTTGTTACTGCATTGATAGATATGGGTTCTACCCACTCCTATGTTTGTTATGATCTGGTTCGAGAGAGATATATTCTGATTGAGGATTTAAGGATAGGGGTCAGAGTGTCTAGTCCCCTGGTGTTAGAAATTTTGGTTGATAAGGTTCATCATCGTTGCCCTCTAGAGCTTAAGGGTAAGATATTCTTAGCCGATTTGATGGAACTACCATTTAGAGAGTTTGATGTGATTCTAGGCATGGCATGGCTTACTGAGCATGACGCAAGTTTGAGGTGCAAGGTGTGACGACTCAAACTTCACAAGGATGATGGGACAAAGGTAGTGATGTCCAGTAGGAGTTTCGAATGTACTACCGAAGTTATTTTGGCGATGAAGGTTCAAATGTTGTTGAGTCAATGATACAAAGTCTTTTTGGCTAATGTTGTGGATACGTGAGTTTTTATTCCGCTGATTGAGGATATCCGTACCATTTGAGAGTTCTCTGATGTGTTCTTATAGGAGTTAATGGGGTTACTGCCTAACCTAGATGTCGAGTTCAACATAGAGGTTATGCCAAGTTCGGCTACGGTGTCTATTTCACACTATCGCATGGCAAGGAAGGACTTGAAAGAGTTAAAAACCAGATTCAAGAGATACTCATTTTTTTAATAAGAAGTATGGGTTGATGAGGTTATCATCGACTACCAGTAGCTAAATAAATTGATCATCAAGAATTGATAACTTCTCCCTCAAATAGATGATCTGTTTAACCAGCTTAAGGGCGTATGTGTGTTCTTCAAGATTGACTTGAGGTCAGGATACCACTAATTTAAGTTTAAAAATGTCGACATTGCCAAGACTACTCTCAGGACAATATATGACCATTACGAGTTTTTAGTGATGCCTTTCAGACTCATCAATGCCTCGATAATATTTATGGATCTAATAAATCGAGTTTTCTATCCCTATATGGATCAGCTTGTAATGGTCTTTATCAACGACATTCATGTGTACTATTGGTACGAGGAGAAGCATGACCAGCACCTCTATATCATTTTGCAAACGCATTGAGAGCGTCAGTTGTATACCAAGTTTGGGAAGTGTGAATTCTAGGTGACCAAATTAGAATTTCTGGGTCATGTGGTGGTAGAGGACGGCATCTGAGTGGATCCTCAAAAGATTAAGGCATTGTTAGAGTGGGAGCTACCTAGAAGTATCACTAAGGTGCATAGTTTATTAGGCTTTACGTGTACTACCGTTTTTTGGTCAATGGTTTCTCCATAATTGCAACATCGATGACCAAGTTACTTCATAAAGATATTATTTTTGTATTGAATGAGAAGAACCAAAAGAACTTTGATAAGTTGAAAGAAATCCTCATGCAAGCCCCGTTTTGACGCAACCAAAATCGGGTAAGGACTTCACCGTGTTTAGTGATGTGTCTCTAAATGGTTTGGGATAAATTTTGATGCAAGAAGGAAAATCCATGATTATGCGTCCAGTCAACTCAGTCCTCCTGAATGAAACTATGCCACCCATAATTTAGAACTTACCGCAGTGTTCTTTTCCTTGAAGATTTAGAGACACTACTTGTTCGGGGAGAAATGCCATATCTTCACGGATCACAAGAGCCTTAAGTATCTGCTCACTTTGAAAGAATTGAACTTGAGGCAGAGAAGGTGGGTATAACTCTTAAAAGATTAAGATTGTGTGATCAACTACCACCCGAGAAAAATGAATGTTGTTGTAGATGCCTTGAGTATGAAGACCGTGGTGGAGTTGAGAGCTTTGCTAGCACATTTGAGTTTGATCAATTCTAGTTTTTTCTGGTTGAATTGAGAGTTGAGCTTGAGTTAGTGGGCAAATTTAAGAGATTTCAAGGTTTTTATGACTGATTGAAAGTCAGGGCAGAGCAAGTCCTTTGAGGTGAGGCATCATGTTTTGAGCTACGCGAGGGATTCGCATAGTACTTTCGCTTATAGTTTCAGGACAAGATCCTCCATAAGGCACATTGTAGTCCCCTTTTCGCTTATCCAGGTATCAACAAGATATACCAAGAGCTTCGACCATTGTAGTGGTGGTCGGGCATGAAGAGTGAAGTGTCTCAATTTGTTCCCAAGTGTTTGGTGTGCCAACAAGTCAAGGTGGATCATCAGGTTCCCTAAATATTTCTACAATCGATTCAGATTCTACATTGGAAATGAGAGATAATGATGATTGACTTTGTAACTGGTCTACTAATGACAAGATTCTCATACAATGTCATATGGGTTGTAGTGGATTGACTAACCAAATCTACTCACTTTCTTCCGATTCATATGGATTATACATTAGATAGTTTGGCTCAGCTTTACATCCGTGAGATCATGAGGTCGTGAGGTTACATAAGGTTCCTATCTCGATCATATTCGATAGAGACACACATTTCACTTCTCAGTTTTGTAAAGCATTGCACGGAGCTTTGGGTACGAAACTGCATTTTAGCATCGCCTTTCATTCTTAGGAAAATATATTGTATGAGCGAGATATTCAAATTTTATAGGATATACTTAAAACCCCATTGTGTTGGATAGAACTCAGTGAGGGAAAGATTTTAGGACCCGACTTAATCTAAGAAATCGAAGAAAAAGTTCAGTTGATCAAAAGTTGTCTAAAAGAGGCTTCTGATAGACAAAAGTCGTATGCCGATCTAAAGGGCAAGGACATAATTTCATAGAGGGAGACAAGGTGTTTCTCAAGTTCTCCCCATGGGAAAAGGTGCTTCGATTTGGATGCAAGGGTAAATTGACACCACTATTCATCAAACCGTACGAGATTTTGGAGACAGTTCGTTAGTGGCTTACCGTTTGGCTTTGCCTCCAGAATTAGAGAGCTTTCACAACGTGTTCCATATTTATACACTTCAAAGATATCAATATGATATATCCTACGTTATTCCACTTGACCAAGCTGAATTAAGGCAATACATGAGCTACAAGGAACAATCAATCCGAATCCTTTCCACATATGTAAAGAAGCTATGAAACAAGAGGATACCATTAGTGAAAATTTCGTAGAGGAATCATGGGGTAAAGGTAGCGACATAGGAACCCGAAGATGATATACAACTTTAGTAACTGTATATCTTCTTTTTAGGTAAAATTTGAGAAAAAAATTTATTGATAGGAGGGGAGAGTTATAACACCCTAAAATACGGGTTAAGAGTTTCAGATTATTTCGTTTGGGTTTATGAATGACCTTGCCTTAGTATATGAAACTTTGGACCCAAGTAGATTTAGTTTGGGCTTTGGATGAGTCCAACTAGCTAAAAAGGGGTTGATTTTAATCATACACCAAATGATGAATGACTATGTAGGTAATTCACCCATTTATTTGACACAAAGTTGATTCCCATTAATTTGGGATGATCTCACGTCTGAACATATTTCTCATTGCCTCCCAAAAACTTATCTTCTTCCTCTCTTTTATTTGTCTTTATTCCTATCCAAGAACCAAGTTAAGGTAGGAAAGTTCAAGAGTTCCAAGCATCCTCTTGAGCTCCCAAGGTAAGAACTACAATCATAATCTTTCTGAGCTTCCATTTGAGCCCTCTTTTATAAGGTTTGGGCAAGTTAACCAAAAATTGGTTTTAGTGGGGGTTTATGAAAACCTATGTTATGGTTCGTTTTATTAGTTTTGAGTGATAAGAAAATATTTTTAGTTTCTTCCCAAGGCTTAAAATGAGCTAACAACTCATTAAACGTGTTTTGATTAGTGTAGGAGCAATGGGAGAGCTAAAGGCTAGAGGCAAGGAAAAGTTGGTTATTGGGTGATTTGGGAACATTTTTCAATCACCTAGCTTCAAGGTAGCACATTTTAAACTTAACCATACTAGATGTAGGTCATTGTATGTTCATTATGGTTTGTTTAGCTCATGAAGCATGCTAGAGTAATTTCCATGGCAAGATTCGTATTTGTTGTTTGCAAGCATGAAAGATGATGACTTTTAACCTCTAAGACCTCAAATAAAACTTTAATAAGCTTTGTTAGTCTTAGGGAAGTGTTTGGGTGAGATTTAGAGGCATTTTTGTGCTCAAAATAGAGCATTCTACTCCATTAGTATCGGTACTGGAAGAATAATACCAGTACTATTCTTTGTGTAAAGGCAAAAATAAGGCAAATTGTATGGCCAACATTGATACCCTTTTTTAACGAATATCGATACACGGGGTCTAGTATCGATACTAAGGCATTTTTGTAAGTATAGAAGCTAATTTTGGTATCGATACTCCTATTCCAAGTATTTTTCAAAATATTGTATCTAATTTTGGTATCGATACTCTCTTGAGTATCGATACTGTTGGCCTAGTATTGATACGCATATTGATTTTTGGGTAATTTTGATTAATTTATTTGGGTGTTTGGACTGAGATGTTTTGAGTTCCTATAAACTACACGTATTCGATACAAGTGAAAAAAAAATCAAGATAACTCAATTCTCACCTAGAAATCAAGTAAATTAGGATGACATAAGATTGGCATTTGTTTGATGCTTGGGAAACGGCTAGGACACCCGAGTTACTCTAGCATTATAACGACGTTCTTTATTGTGAATATATATTTATATTTTGTTTATGTACACATCCGATGCAGATAAATTATGGGTTGTACAAGTACAAGTTCTGATGCACGTAAATTCTTGAATCATATCTTTTG